AAAAATCTAATTAATTCATGTTTAGAAGGTTATGAGTCAGACAGGAGACAAAGTAAGCTCTCCTGTCTCTCCTAACAGTTTTAATCAGGACACAGAACAGTAAAAAACATTTTAAAGATAGTTATCCATTTTCCAACAGTTTCTTGATAGCATATGAACATCTAAGCGAGCCATGCTGCAAAAGCACAACAAGCCTATGCCAAACATTTAAGAACCAAGAATAGAACATATAACAACAACTCCGTTGACTCAGTTAAGATGAAAAGGGATGACTCAGTTCTCATTTGGCCAAACATCAGTTCGGATCAGTGAAGGCCGCTGAAATTAAAGAGCTGAAGTAACATTGCTCTACAGAGCACAGAACAGACATTTTCTTTTAGAAGAAGTGAACTCATTTTAAATTGCACCGTTCCGACATCAAAAAGTGCAAAGGAGTGAAACAGACTATTCCTGTTGCCGGAGCCCTGCGGGGGGGTTACTGTGATCCCGCTCGGCTTCGGAGGTGTGTTTTTGATTACAAGTCACAGGTTGGCTGGAGCTGTCATCAGGACTCACCAGCACTCCCGTTAAAGGAGTAGCATGAGCGCCAGGGGTCGTCAAAGCATTTTCAGTGATAACCAGGCCCAGTTTTCACATTCCCACTTCAAGCATTCAACCTCCCGAGACCCAAGATTTGATTTGGTCTGCATTTCTGCTTTCTCCAATATATAAGAGATGAGTAGGACCTGCTAAGTTTTATAACTAGACTCTGTCATAGTACAGGAAGTATTTTCCTAACATAGTGACAATTTGTATATCTTTATTTAAATTGTGTAATTAAGTATTTTAAAGTAGTCTTTGCAATATGGCTCTGAAGGTCCAAATGACTAAATGACACGTTAAAGGCATGATTGGTTATTTTAGATTTCAAACATTAGAATCTGATAACATCTAATGTCAGGCCAACTGCTCAAAGTTGAAAATAAAAGAGGTGTCATGGTGCAGAGAGGCATAAATGTAACATCCACATGTAAGTATGAAGGGGTCTCAGAAGGCTAATCTGTGATTATGCTCACACTGTTGCTCCCTAGAGTTTTTTCCTGCTAACCTAGGTTCCCTGGTAAGATCGATACCTCTTTGACTCAATCCACTGTTAAAGCATCCATAACTAACGACAGATTACATACAGGCTGCACAAGCTCAAAGTCTTCCTATTTTTCTTCTACAGAGACAAACATTTGAGAAAAAAACTCTGGCCCTGTCTGTTGCCCATGAATTCATGGCTGTTTTCCTTCGTTTGATGTGACGTAATCCCAAAAAACAAAAGATAACCAACTAACACATTTACACGAAACAGTTTTGCTCTTAGTGAGAGCAAAACTGGCTTTGTCAAATACATGGAAATATGTTTTGTACACGCTGCAGTTTTTGCATAGAGATTCTTAATAATTTTCTGATTTAAATCTCTGTAAAAACTATTAAATGTAATTGTATCTCAACACAGTTAAATTCCTTATAAAATTGACTAAAAGTCCAGATTTTTACAGCCGCTGCATTGCCCGATCAAAGCTCCATTCCATTTTCAACACAGCGTGTCTGGAGTGAACTCTGGGATAGTTTATTGTACAGCGATCCCCCACTGAGAAAGTTTGACGCAGCATACTCAGCAGAGTCAAGCACACTTCAGTCAATACTTCCACCTCCACTCAGCTGTCCCGGAGCAATGATCAAAACTCTAACTCGAGCTAAATGACTCTTTGGATCCGATGGCTACAACCAAAACAAGCCAGTAAAGAGAACATAGCTTTACTTCACTGTGTACAGTGAAAGCATCAACACAAGTTTAATCGAATGTACAAAGACTACATGCAGATTTCAGTGCATTAAAGTCGTGTCAAGTGTAGTAAAGCAAAGCAGGTATTTATTCGTGCATTGGTTTCTGTCATGTTATTCCTTCACTGCTGGACATGGAGGTTTCGGTGGAGGGGAGGTGATGGTGAGGGAAATGTTCACTCGGCAAATGTTTGTGTTTTTCTTTACATTTTTATATATCTGAGATCCCTTTGCCACAAGTTTGTTCATTTCATAAAGATTTATTTTCACGAAATATCGTTTATCTGATAAAAGGCATCAGTTTTTCGTTCTTTAAAACATCATGGGTAATGTTTGAATGGGGTTGTATTTTGTGAAGGGATTTTTTCCTTTTTGCGTTGTTTTTAAAGATCTGGCAAAAGACAGCAAGATAAGATTCATGAGGATGCCAGAAGTTAATGCTCAACTATGGGCAGGCATCACTGTGGGCTTTTCAAATCAGTCAAGCAATCAGTCAGGGGATTTTACCCAGTGCTTGAGTTGTCAAATGAAAAGCCGGGACCGTGTCAACAAAGCAAGTCAGTGGACCTAGTACTCATTTCTGTATTGTGAGACGTCAAACTACTCAAAGTGAATGAGCGTTTCTGCACTACATTCGCTGAGGCTCAATTACAGATTGGTAAAACAAAGCAACCGGCGGAGAGATGATTTCTCTGTAGGATGCATTTTGCTAAAGTCGTACGTTAGAGCAGCAGAAAACAACAAACAACACTTCCTCTCTGTCTCCAAAAGAAAAGTGCAGCCATCGGTCATAACAGAGAGCAGGCCCCACACTGACAGCTCCCTCGGTGACGGGCCGGAGCTGAGGCCTTTCATCCTTCTGCTGTCAGATGTAAAAAAAAAAAAAAAAGCACTCACCAGACCATACACCACAGATTTTACGGTCTGTGTCACTTTATGCAAAACTTTCACACAGAAACACTGCCTTAAAGCAGCAATGTGAACTGCCGTTATCAACTCGTCATTGTAATTATTCTTATTTTGATATTTTATGATTTATCAGCCATGCTACCTCTTCTCCCCATCCAGCACCTTGACCTTGATATTTCAGTCATCCATCCAAAACTTACAGTCAAAGAAAAAAGAAGTCTTTACTCTTTCCCAAAAAGTCCTGCAGCCCTGCTGCTAGAAGACAACGACGGTGGCTGATTTTTACACGATACAGACTCAGCGATTGCTTGGAATTGCATACCGCAGCCAGCTTGGAGGTTATTTTTGACGTGTACATTTTTAGCTGGGAGAAGAAAAATGGCCTCAAACAAAACTGAGATGGAGGAGAATTATCTTCCACAAAAGAACACACTTCAGAAATTGCTCGAAAAGAGGAGCCCGACGTGATTAGGTTTTTCGACGAAAGATGTCACTGTGTCTTCAAATTCTTCCACAAAACAGAAACCCTTGTGTCAAATGCACATTTATCCAACCATGGAAATCAGATGGAGGATAATATTTAATGCCATTCGAATGTGAAAAATTAATGGTGGAAAGCAAGGACACGTGTTCGGCACGTAGACATTAGTATTATGGCCTTCACGTGGATGGTCCTAAGGACCTTTTATTGGCACAGTGACTTGAGTAAGAAGGATGTTCATGTTTAATCTCTGTCACAACCACTACATCTGTTTTCTGATCTTCTTTTGTGCATTGAATTTTCTCTGGACAAAACCAATAGGGAAAACCAGAGGAAATAGGACAAGGCCTATCTGATTATGAGTGTCATATTTTCATAGCATCTAATTCAAGATCTGAAGTGGTAAACCAAACTTGCTCAGAGCAAAGTGGTGTTAATGCTCGTTTCTAATAACTCACGGACTGAACCGAAGAGATTATCAAGCGCTTGAATGCAGCGTTCCACCCCCTAGGTGAGCAGATTGCATTCATAGTGCACACAAATTTGTCTCAGATTCTGCCGCAATCCCCCAGATCCAAATAAAACGGCGTGGACTATAACGAAGCGAGTCACCGGCAGCTGAGTGGGGACCGGCGAGGCACATAGAACTATAGCTACATAAACATCAGGTGGTCAGAAACAGATGGCCTGAGCCCTGAGATGAAACGCCGTGGAGTGGGGAGCCAGCAGTCTGATGTGGCCCCGCAGATGTGTGGTGTAATCTGATAATTAAATCTTGAAACTTCACTTATAAAGGAAATGCAATGTTTATCTAGCAGGGATGTCTCTGAACTGTGTCCGCTAAATGATATTAAATGATCCGGTCTCTGGGGACGGAGGACGACTGTGCCTGCTGTACATTTTGATTCCTGTGTAGATAAGGGGGGAAAAAATGAATAAAACACACACACACACGCGCTCGGCCTGTCATATTTATCGGATAGATATCATTTGTGGCAGCAGCTGGTTTATGTGAAATCAAAAGGGAGGAATGTCATTGGAACTGGTTGTCCTTGGAGCCTAGCAGCTGCATGCTTCACCACATTACATTAATAAACCTTCAGAGATGCTTCAATGTTCACGTGGCTGGCTTTAGCTCCTCCCAGACGGTAAAACCAACAAGTTTTTTTTTTCTTTTCCCTGTTAACTCACTCATACACAGCCCATCAAAAAATGCTAACTTTCACACCACTCCCTGGACTTCTCACATCTAAGTGATACCTCGTAAGAGAAAATATTGATAGTCTCTGAGGTGGGTCAGTTCGTTTGGATGAATATATTTCTTTTTGATTTTTATTTAGCACTGCAGAGGAGAACCAGCTGGGAGCTGAATGGATTTGTGTAGATTGTAGCAGCTTTCCAAGAGTCAGTGATGGCAAGAGAATGATATGCGTGCATACACGTATAAAAAGCTTTTGCATAGCATTTTGTCTGGGTTACAGGATTAAAAGATGAGGTCACAGCAGCAGTGTGTCAGAATCTGAGCGCTCTGCCACTATTTGTCTCCCTCTATTGGCTAAGCCACCGCAATATGACAAACTGAAGCATTTTGTAATCATAGAAAACCTTAAAAACAACATCCTTGGATGGAAACGGCCTCTATCCATTTATCTTATTTGACAGTGCATAGCTGAGGAAGAATTTCAATCCCAAGATTTGTCACAGTGCAAATACGGACTGCACGAGTCACACCCTTCATACAAAACATACAATTATATCACGGATGGCAATGTGTGACTGAAAACAGGGCAAAGAAAGCTGATCTCAGGAATCCTTTAATATATGAAAGAAGCATATTTTCACAGAATATACAGTGTAACAGACCAGTTCCCATTGATGTTATTTGACAAGACCAACCCCTTCGAAAACAGGCAGGAAAAAGTGGGAAAAAAACTGATGGAACATGGTTGATTTGCAATCAGCTGCAAGCGAGAATATTTGCAAAAACAAATGTTAACGCGCAATGAAGGAGGATTGTTGTGATGGTTGCACATGCTTGTAATGGTTTCAGTGTGGCAAAGTAACCATGAACTGTGTCCATACTCTGAGACAAATCTGTGGAACCCATCAATCTGGCAAAATGCCCCCGCAAATATTACTGTCGGTTCACACTTGTATCTGCCTTAAATGTCATGCCCTGCTATGGAAATGTCACTACGAACAACAGCGCTTCTGCTGTTAAGATGTGCACCGACTAATCAGCTCTGCTGAGTCTCTGTGCTCTGATGTGGGAAGCAGAAGATGAGGTAAGACTGGTCCATGTTGTATTTAAAAAAAAAAAAAAAGGTTAAACAACACTTGCAGACAATGATTAAGCTGAGAAAAGGTTCACAGGATAAACCACATCCACCACTTTGTCTTTAATACACAAAGGGATTTTTAGCTGGAGAGTGGATGTTTTTTTCATGATTCATAAATCACCCACATTAACAGCTACAGAAGAGAGAATAAATAACGAGACAATTAGTTGCATCTGCTGACTTAAATGTTTTATCATTGCATATTAAATGAAGCCCTGCATAAACACTAGAGAATAAAGTAAAGGGTATGCTCATCCGCTCTCATGGTCACTTCTGTGTTTTAAAAAGCATAAAAAACCAGGAGAACAGCTAATAATAAAATTGAATACAACTCTTTATTCACATTTGTAGACTCACCTGTGCCGCGCACTGCACAGCATAAAAGGGAATTTAAAACTGAACGAGGAGCAGTAGGTCCATGCTGATACAGATGTTTACATTCATGGGATGCATAAGGCTCCTCCGGGGGAATTATTTAAGTTCCCACAGGGACATCAAAGAACTTAAGAAAGGTGTTTTGTGATACAAGGCCATTGTGACAAAGGACAAAGCATAATTTGCATTTTCATCCCATTTTCTACAACATTAAAGGAATACAAAAGCCGAATAACCCTAAGCCGTTAAAACGCCACACTCCTGTGAGTCACCTCTGTAGTCTGCATATTAACTCCTGCCAGGCTGCAAATTATTGCAGCATTATGACCGAGGCGGCTGTCTGATTATTGACACAAATGTCGGGAAACGGCAGCAGCTGCAGAGACAGAGGGGAGACGGGAGAGCTTCCTCTGGAAAGACGCGGCAGAGCTGACAGTGGTGGTGTCGGTCTGCCCCTCAGCGCGAAAGAGGAGGCAGCAGCTCTCCATTTTGTCACGTCTGACAAGAAAAGCCCATGCATACTTAGTGCTTTTTCGTTTGTTTTCTAGGAGAGAAAAGTGTGCTCAAAACCCCGAGGCAACACTCCCTGTCGAAAGAAATAAAATAAAAAAGAGTGAAAGACATGCGTTCATCTTTAAGCACCCAGATCTTCTGTAAAACTGGAGTGGAACGGGATGATTCGCAACACCCGGCGAAATGAAACAAGCCACAAACGTCTGGAATGCAGCGGATGAAAAGAAAGAAAACGAAAAAATTTCACGGCAGGCAAATGTTGCAACTTTGGGTGAGAATGAGCGGTGAGGTGTTAATCCTGTGACTAATATGCAGTTTTTTTGGGTTGTTTTTAAATCATCAGTGGCTTTTACTAACTGGTTCCACCTAAAGTGCTGAAAGATAAGAGCTTCTCCTTTGGATGCACATCCATTTTGAGGTGTGAGAAGTCATTAAGGCTCCGTCACTCTGTGCCGTGCTCCACCGGTGGCACCCTGACACCAGCGTTTGTGACACCTAAATTCAAATGACTGTTGTTTAGTTTTGCATTTCCTTCTGTCCCCACTGTTTAAAAATACATCAGTATGGCACACTGTGAAGCAGATGCACTCTGATCAGATAGTGTTTTGAGGTGGAGGCGTGTGGGTGAAACTAACATCCATGTGTACGCAGAGCTGACGATCATAAGGTGTCACTGAACCAGCTCCTATATATAATCCACAGACGGGCTCAGAAGAGCAGGGAAAGTTTTGGTGCATTGTTCACGGGAAGTGACTGCGTCTCATCTTCGGATGTGTGCACTGCATTCAAACCGAGGGCATGTTGTGTGTTGTTAAATGTGCATATGCAGACCTGTGTGTACTCAAGAAGATCTCTCTGTTCCTAGATAGGCCTGGTATCTAAATGATAATGGTTAACCGCTGTAAAGGAAGTTGGAAAATAATCGAGTGAGCCCGAGCGGATCAGATTTTGCATTTGACAGACGATGAAATGCAACTCATAAGAGCCAACAATTTTATAACAAATAAAGACAGGGCAATGTGGGCCGGGTACAGCTTGTAAACTTCATGGTAAATCAATATTCGGAAAATATTCCCAGCCTGAAAACAATGATAAAAAACAAAACATTTTGATTGGGATTCCATCATGAGACCTCTTGTTAGCTAGATTACGGCACTACATAGCTGAAAGTTAAAGCAGCGTTCATGTTATATTGAGTCTGTTACTGGTATAAAAAAAACATAAGACCATGTATTTACTATTCTATCTATATTTCAGTCCAAACAAAAAAAAAAGACACGATTTCATCTAGGACAGTAGCAATGGTGCATTTTCCTGTCTTACTTTTAATCTTTGTTTAATTTTTCAACTTAACTGGCACTTGCAACAATCTATTCACATTTTGACTATCTGGAAATCTCAGCTGACTGGTGGCATTCCGATAAAATCAAATTTACAGCCAGACAAAACGTTAGCAGTTTTCTGGAAGTCAGCTGATCGTATTTGGTCTCCATTAGGACTGCAAATATCAACAAACAGAAGCCATTTTGCAGTTCTACTGTTGTATTCAAAGGAAAATCAGGTGCCAGGTGAAATCAAACAATGAACTGAGAATATATGAATCCATAAGAGCACACAAAAATGAAATATGAAAAAAAGGACTTTTTAAATGAACAGACACATATTCTTATACAGAGGGCACACAGTAAGACAGATGTGGTGACTTTAGAGAAGTAAAAAAAGGCCCCAAACCAGCAATCCCATGTGCCAGAGGGATGCTAAGTGATAAACGTCTACTATTAAACCCTATCATTGCACTGACCTACAATCCTTACCGCGCCAGGTCATCCCATGTAATAAAATAAAGCATCTGTCAGTTCATCAACAGACAACACAAGCACGACGGGGGCAAACAGGGCGACATCAGAATTCCACTCATGTGGACGGGAAAATGCAGATATGTTTTTACCCGTGGCAGGAAGCATATAAAGTCTGCTGGGCCCTGAGGTACCGGTGGAAAAGGGTGTTTAGAACAGGAAGGAGACATAAACATCGTTGGAAATCAATGGCACTTTTCACATTAGAAACTAGAATGCAGATTTCCTGAAATGACTTGAAGTTGCAGATGTGATCAGCCAGTCTTTATAGTGTTCTTTTTTTCAGTGGTCATAACAGGACGCCACATAGGAGACAAAAGAAAATTGACATGCGGTGGAATCCATGTGTTTATCAGTGGGCTGGCCAGCCACCCACCATCCTCTGGGGCAGGATGTGGGGATACACGCAGTAAAAACAAGCTCTGTGATGCTTGACCTATAAAGGGAGACTTGCTGTCACTCTTCCTTTGTTTTTGTTGTCTCTTACTTCCATCCATGGCTTCCTTAGCCTCAGCTGACAGGGGTCTGTGTGCAACTGTTTGCAATTTGCCCAAAGAACAGAAATCAGAGGAAACAGAAAATAAGGGACTGATGCTGAAGTAAGCATGAGTCTTCAGTTCTATTTGGGTTAAAAAATCCCAGCTTTTTGGTTAGCATGGAATCATTTCAACCCCCCATTCAAGTGTCACTAGTGGATGGGGAAGTGAACTCTTTGTGTCAGCACATGTACAAGAGTGGGAGCTGCTCAGCAGCAGGGCGGCCGGAGCTGTAGGCTATCTGTCCACAGCTGGACGGGACTGTTAGTGTGCTTTGTTGACCTGGCTGGGCCGGAGGGGTGGGGCTGTCCCACTTCACCTCCCCTGTCACCAGTTGGCTTTGACAGCTTTGACATCACTCACCAAATTTTGAGCAAGGCAGATACCGAAAATCTGAAAAGAAACAAAAAGCCACACAAAGAGGGCTGTTATTTCAGGTTTGTTTACAGGCTAAATTAAGTTTGGGCTAATACAACACGCTGCTGTAAAGCAGAGGTTTAGACTGTTATTCTACATTTCCCCACCAGGTGGGAGTGATAAAAACTAAATCAGAGCACACATTTCATGTTTTGGGGTTCGGTTTAGAGGCCTAAAGTGGACGTTTCCAAAAAACATAAGCTCTCAAAATCAAAAGAAAAAAGAGCACAATACCTGTAAAAGTGCAATACCGACAAAGATTCCAGCCACAATTATCAGGTTGTCTTGAAGCCACTTCTCAAACTGTCCCACACAGCCTTTGGTGTGGATAAATTTTTGCCGCTCCATTTCCTTTTTAATGAGCAAAAGAAGAAAAAAAAAGATGGCTTGAAATCTTGCTATAAGTAACAGACATTGCTCCTTTCCATATAATGTTCAGCTTTCACAGATGTCTAAACAAACATCCAAACACTGACCTATGACTAATGCTCTTCAGAAAGAAACGCTTTTGGCCCACCGAGTCCTATACAGCGAATCTGGCTAGAAAACTGCCCCAGAGCAAGTCCAACTCATAGTTTTCAACATGTCGTTGTCTGAACACTACACAGAATATCAAAGCAGAGTATTTGGGTCTTATTCTGGCCCTGTCTGGACTGAACAAACAGGCAGAATCTGTTTCCTGTTACCGGACAGATGGCTGTTTGTGTTGTCACATTGAGCCGATGATGTCCGCTCAGAGGGGGACATAAAAGGTGTAATTTACTACTGCAGTGACACCAAAAAGGGGGTAAGAAAGGGTGCCTCAATACAATGCGTTCTTTGTTACTCTTCAAGTCAACCAGGCAAACTCTTTGTTCTCTTGCAAAACCTGAAATGTGTCTTTCAACCAATAAGAGGTAGAGAGAGCCTCCTGGTAGCCAATAAAAAGGCAGGAAACACCATGTTGTTCTGGCCATGAACCTCCTGTGACACTATCACAGGCCTCTGGCTTTGTTATGCTTCTGTCCTCCACATGTCTCCTCTGCTATCTGGCCTGGCACTTCCTGGGGCGGGCTGCACAGGAACTTACTGCACATCACTGATAGTTTCGACGGTCAGCCATCAGCAGAAGAGTTCAGCTAATTCATTCCAACGCAGTGGCAGGTGGTTAACTGTACGGAGGTTCGCCTAGCAACAGCAATCTTTCTGACTGCAGTGCAGTGAGTTGTAACCACCACACCCACGCACAGAGGAAAACCGAACGAACTGGCATAACCCACTGAGTAGCCAATTACAGAGTGTAGTAAGGCTGCTCTGTAGGCTATAGCGGGAGCCTAATTATCCCTGTTAGAAGAACAATCTGTTATTAAGGCAAGAAGCATGCAGGGTAGTGTACATGCTTCTTAACCCTGTACAATCTCAGCAGATGCTGTGTTAGCAGTCTGTTTTAAGGTTTGCACGCTTTTCGTCGCATTTACAGTCCAGGAATGCAACTGAGAGTCATGTTGAACCTAAGATTTGATTGTTTTCATTGGAAATCTATTCATTAGCCTGTTGAAGTGGAGGGTAAGCTGGTATAACCCTCAAAAACCTACATTATGTATAAAAAACTTCTTGAAAGAAATTCAAAGGTTAGGAACACAGGAAGGCAAAGTGAGGTTCTAAGGATGATTAGAAACTTTGAGTGGATGGTAACAGTTCAGTGAGCAAGCTTCTGCCTGAAATGTAATATGTTTTTTGGGTAATTTAACAGATTTATACTTCCTTCATCCAGTGTGATTTTAGCCAAGATAATATTGATATTGAGAACATTGTTTCTAACTCTTAAACATATGTTAGAAGGATAGATTCTTTTTCGGAGAACTGACCCACAAAAATAGAATAACTGGAGGTGGAAGAAAAACCAGAGTTAACTATAAAAAGCTATTTGAGTGAAGGAAACCAGGTCTAAAGATACTAACCAATTGAAGCCGAATATCATAACCACACTGCGTGTTGATGACGTCCTCCTGCAAAGAAAAGACAAAGTCAGCTCAACTTTCACACGTTTTACTTAATCTACTTAATGTCTGAGGGACAAGATGAACTAACCTGCAGGATAAAGAACACATAAGGCCTGTCTCAAGAATAAGCAGCTACAAAATGACCACATACTGAGGTCTTAATCATTAGCGGGACATGCTGAAAGCACTTGATGTACCTCTTTCACATCATGCTACGTACGATACAATGCTGACAGATGATGTGGCTGTGTGACGCTGAGAGCATTACATCAGATGGAGATGTAATCATGTCAATGAGTGACTTACTGCAGGATCTTTGACGCAGCAGGAGAAGGGCACCCCACAGCGCTCTCTACTTGGATTCTTGTCAGTGCAGTTGAAGTAGATGTTCAGGTTCCAGTCGTCTGGGCCGTGAGCGCCGCAGCATGACCACTGAGACACAGCAACAACGGGGCCTGATTAATCAGCTGACCCTGGCTAACAGATAGAATTACGTCCTCTGATCTGGCCATCTGAGTTCTTCAGATTCTGGCTCAGGTCAGCCGGGGTAGATAACCAGCTTACGGGGAACTACAGAGATCCACTGGGTGAGTCAGCAGCGGATGTAATCTGCTTCACGACGCGTTACGACACAGCATTTACACACAGGAGCCAATTATCTCAACTGTCTCATTAATATAATTGGATAACCAAATACAGTCGCATTAATCACAAGATTTGTTTCACAGATACGGTGGGGGCTGTGAAGGATCAGGCAGAGCCATTTTCCCCTTACAAACAGATCCATGCGCCACAATGTCGCACAGGAAGAAAGTCATCCCTAAAGCAACGGGATTAGAAATGTTTGCTTCTCACAATAGGTGTGCTAACTCACATATTCTTGAGCAAAGTCGATGAGATTCTGCAAGTCGATGTCATCCCGGTAGGCCTTGACATTATTGTTGATGAAAAAGTTGAGCTGGTCTTTGATCCAGTCTTTGAAGACAAAGGCGAGGATCCCTGCAGTCAGCTCCAAGAAGAAGATCAAACCCAGGAACACAGAAAACTGGAGGGTACATGAGACACCAGTGAGTAAACACAAACCAACAGAAACACAAAGCATGTCGCAACAAGCACAACATGCATGCACAAAAAACAAGAGTTCAACTTTAGTTTTTGCTGGTGTTTCTAAAAGAATTAACAGGAAAGCTTTGATGCTATGGTCCAAGCTCAGGCCTCGTTGTGGGGCCGGCCCAGAGTTGATAAATGAGGGTGTGGGGGCAACAAAAACCGCAGTCCCACAGGTGCCGTTACATTATCCATTTACAGTAAACGCAGCAGACGAGACTGATGATAAATGCGAAAAAGCCACATTAGCTCCTCACTCTGACGCCTGACTTATTGTGGCTAATGGACATCTGCTGGAGTTAATAGCTACTCAGAACTGCAGCCAGGAACAGGGCAAATCCGTCAGTAACATTTGCTCATCTATAAAGGCAAACCCTAACAAACCCCCTAAATAGGGATGTTGTGCCTATGGGTTGTAGAAACATTCTAGGATCAAACACTTGACAGAGGAAATGCTTGAGAGCAAAATCATGCATGTGTTTCTGAACAGTGCTTTCTGATGAATCGGGCTTGTTTCATACTTGTTAGATTCATGCTATGTATCCACCAACAGCGTTTGGTGAGTCAATGTGACACCTGCTACGGTAAGAGTCTCGGCTCTAGTGTGAAGAGCACATCTAAAGGGGCGTCAAGTTGTTGAAATGGTGGCTGTGCATCAAAAAGCTGGGAGATGGCTTACAAATTTTAGCAGGAAGGTGTTTTCTCTGAGCGCTCCGATGCAACCGGCAAAACCCAGGATGAACATAACCCCTCCTACCACGATGAAGAGCCACACGGGGTCAAAGCCCCCGAGATCTGTGATTAACGACAGATTGGACAGCACGCCCTGAGGAAAAGCAAGAAAGACATAAAAGCGGTTAAAACAAGGAATAAACATAAGTAATAAACATAAAAGATTGTAACAATAAAAGGGTTTGGGTGTGCATGTAAAAAGAACTAAGCAGAAAAGAACATATGTTGGCTGAGAGAGCTAAAGGGAAAAAAATTATGTCACAGCAAAGAGACCAGCTGGGATCCAGAACAGGAAACATATAGAGAAATCCATCTGACTGCACCCAGTTCTTTCCCTGGGTTTCATCTATTAAGCTGTTTTTCGTTAAGTCGAGAAAAACAAAAGGTTTGAGCTTTCTGAAACATTCACTGCTTTCCAAACCCAAATCCAGACTCCAACGTCTTTGTTTGTGAGCAATCCTGCCTCAAAAGGGCAGAAGCCAGTAGCAGATTCTTAAATGAAATAATAATTGATACCAAAGTAAGCCTGATCAATATCACAGGGTAGCACACACCACAGCGGCACTGTTAGTTCAAGTTTTTCTCAAAAGCAAGGAACGACCCATGAGAGCGGGCTGCTCTAGCTGCAGAATTCTTCACAGCAGGTGCGCTGCACGCTTGTAGCCGTGACAGCTGAAATCTCATTCTGCTCAAGTTCATTTGGACAGGGTTAGGAAAAAGCTATTGGCCCGACATTAATACTGCATTCTTATGTTTTCATGCCACAGGTGCAAAATAAACTGCCCTCCTTCGAATTCCAGCAAGAGGCCCCGAAACAATAATGTAATCTGGCTGCATGCAGCAGGCTTGAAACTAATCATCTTAGTCACTGAGACCCAAACTCGCCATTATGCCTTTGCAGCACCCGCTATTCATCATTCAGCCTAATCTCTATAAATTATTCACTCTGTTCCACAAAGGTACTCCAGTGAGCCCTATATGCATTGAGTTCATGACCAGACATTACTAATCACTACATGCTTCCACGCTAGTGCAGCATTTACTGAGCCGACCGCTACAATTTCCTCCTAATTAATAAACAAACTGACTGTTAACTCAATTGGAAGAACTTTTGAATGTCGCCATGAGTCGCCCAACATAAGACAGTCAAGGCAAAGGCTGACTTTTGTCAGTGGGAAATAAACACCGGCCAGTTCCCGTGCAAATATGAGGTCTGGTTCGCTCTGGAATTGATTTTGTCTACAACGCTACGTATTTATCTCCTGATGACTAGAAGTCTAATCGGTCATTTCTGATGTCTAGCTCCAAGTCATCCATTAAAAAAAAAACAAGTTCAAGGTTGGTGAACTTTGATTCCCCAAAACAGAATCCCACATCACAGTGGAGCATCAGCAGCATGACTCACTTTCTGTGACAAACAACAGGCATGTACCAGTTAGTGTTACCAGTTTCTCATGGAGAAGCTTGTATCTATTTCAGACTGCTGCTCAAAGACGTTGTGTTTAAATCTGAATCCAGGAGCACATCATAATTCCAGCTTGTTTAAGCCATATTTGGAGGAATGTTTGCTATGCCGTACGGCCAGTGAGGCACTTCCACGCCGTGCTTTTTGGTGAGTGCGTGTTTATACATACCTTCTCCGCCCATGCCCACAGGCCTATACCCAAGAATGCCGCTCCTAGTAACTGTAAAACAAAGCACACAGAGGAGGATGCACTGTGAGATGGAAAGCCAGAAGATGAAAACGAAATAGACAAAGAAAAAAAAACACTCAATTGTGACATCTCATGAAAGACATCTGCAGAAGTTAGTGTGAGTTTCACAAATGGCTCCTCTATCAGGAGGGTTCAGGGAGTGGCGTTATTTACAGCCCTGTCGCCCTGGCAACATAAGCAAACATCGCTACTGTCCTCTGTTTCAGATTTTGTTCAAACCCTGATGGATCCATGGCCCCACAGCCTTACACAAACTGTACACCCTGATAAAAGACCTTAAAGAGCAAATAATGACAAAAGGTGCCATTTGTAATAAGCGCCATGTTCTGAAAAGGGCTGCAGTTAGTTGTAAGTTCAGAGAGGACCAAACACCTGTGGAGAGGAACTAATTGAGAAAAATGACTTTTCAAGACTTTAAACAATACTAAAGTCTGATGCTTCAAACCAGCTGCAGACAGAGTGAATCATTCTGTCAGCTCCTGAAGGTGAGACGCATTCCACACAAACTCCAGAAGTTAATACCATGAGAGTTAAAGAAAATCCTTCCGGGTGTTAGTCTGTCATCCAACAGGGGGATGAATGTATGCCTCACAGCTTTAACACTGCAAAGCACCAAAAGGCTACACTTTGCTGTTAAACGACTAGACTAATCTGTGCTCAGACACTAAATTAGACAATTATCAGCAAGGTTCCTGGATTCTAAAAATCAGACTGCATGTTATGATAATCCTCAGTTTCTGGTAGTGAGGGCTTTATGCAGGTTTTTGTCTAATTGACTGTCTCGCTGGCACATGCTGTCACGCAGAGGGGATTTAAAAAAAACAAAAAAAAAGGGAACAAACTTAACTGAGGTGCACCAGAGGAGCCTGAGATCTAAATTTTTGTCAGGAAGTCGAATACGTTGAACGAAGCTGCTAAACTGATGGTGACCCCTTAGTCCACAAAACAAATCCTACACAGTGAGAGAAGGCCAAACAGTAGCGGCAGAAGGCTGGGCTGGGAGTTACATAAACAGATGGAAAGGGTGTGGTGGCACTGGTCAGAGTGGGAAAACAACACTGTGAAAGGGTCAGGATAAGCAGGCGGACTACAGGTAGGGAGGATCAGACTCACGGCAGGAGCCTCAAAGCTTTGAGCCTTTGGTGAAAGCTTCTTTGAAATGTGACAAAAGCAACTCCCATGACATTGCAATAAAAAAAAAATAGAAAACCGATCTTAATTTAAAGGTGTCCATTCCATTACGACATTCTGGAATATTTCATACATTATCTACGACATTATTTTTCCCCATTTTTTTCAAAGAACTTGACGCGATCAAAACTGTGAAAACGAAAGCGCTTAGCACCGTTACCCCACCCATTTTCTGATCTGACTCCCATCAAATTTTACTGACACCATTAAGATTAAGATAACTCCATTATAGAGAATGGAACTCTCCACATTCTCCTCTTAGGCGAATATCTGTAGCCACACCAATAACCCAAACACACACTCGCATCACAAATGAGATGAAGTACCGAGCAACTTAAAAAGATCTGCTTGAGTTATCGGAGATTATCTTAGAGACTTTATGATCAGTGACTCATAGACATTACATATATGAACGTGTTCTGGCACGTTCCCCAAAAATACTGCAGAAAGCCTATAAACACTTCACCCTTTCAGTCATCAGAATTTCTGAGCCCCTATGTCTCCATTTCACACACTCTACATACAGCCTTTTCCATTTAATGCACAGATATACCTAATACACAATCCGGGGCTGGTGTATTTTGGGTTACACTTATAGATGTGCTACTCAGGCCCTGGATCCTAAACATGGTGGTCGATGCATTTTAGTTGGTCGTGCTGGTCTCTGTGACTGTGCCTTCAGCCCTCAAGATAAAAAGAGGCTTCGGTTTCTCAGGGCTACAGTCGGTGGTTTGGCAATAAAACAGAAAGAAGTGGTTTTATATTAGTTTTTCGCACCAAATCAGCCCTGCAATGGCTTCATCTGTGCTGGTGTGTGGTAAGAAAGGTATTCAGATGATATAGAAATTTTGACGATAAATACAAAACAATATTCTGCTATTAATACTTGAAGGGAAATTCAGTATTTTGTCCACATAGGCCCACCAACATTTCACATACTGCCCTGTCTCAAGAGGTGATTGGTGGAGCCTGCAACACCAAACAGATGATTTCGTCTCGTTGTTTAATTGCTCTGATTCACACTATGTGTTTTCAATCGCTGCTTTTCAATCCCTATCGGCAATTCGGCAAATCGGCAGCATAAAGTTGGGGCCAAAATTAATTTGACTGAATAGGTACACCAATACCTATCCAAACCTTTATTTGTACAGCGCTTACATTTCCTCCTTTTGATCGAACCTTTCCCAAAGGGCCATGTGGAGCCGCAAGGGTTAAAATCAGTTCAGAGAGCAAAACTTGACTTCTGGCAAATAATGAGGGCTTCTCACTTAGCAAAAAAAAGGAGGAAAAAAACATGCAAGGTAATCATTTTTAAATAATAATCACCCTCCAGTTATATAGCTGTAAAAGCAACTTATAAAGAAAACCATTTTGTGTCATTTTAATATAATAAAAATTACATTTTTTACAACACTCAATATTTTGTGAACATTTTCACAAGTCCTAGAAAAAAAAAATCCCCTGGTTATTTGCATCCCTATAACCTATGTGCTGTTATCACCATTTATTTATTTAATCACTGAGCAAATAAAGTGTAGAATCGGAAAACAACCTTGTTACTAAGAATCGGGGCTTCTCCTCCAGCCAGGACAGAAAGATCTGTGATGCAGAAGGTGGGTATTATCTCCAGGCGGACAGAGATTATACACACTTGAGAAGATGAGTCCCTGAGCCAGATGATCTCATTAACCTCAACTAACCAGCAGATGAATCAAGCCCCCTTCTTCCTGGACACGCACCCACACACAAACGCACAGTGTGTGGACTCATTCAATGGAAGTCTAAAGTGTTGAAATCTGTGAACACAGTCTTATTTGGTGAGAGAAAGCCAAAGGAAATGCCTAAAAGATTACTAATTGTGAAGCTTGTCTGGCTCCAGGAAAAGGAATCACTCCACCTATTGTCTGCTCCTGTTTTTAATCTATTCAACATCGTAGAAATCCATCAATCAGTCACCACGGCAGGAGGTTTAAGTGTGGTTCAGGGCCAAACATTACCATGCCTGGAAAGGCTATACAGGTAAAAGTCAGACTGACTGATAGAGGACCAGTTTTATGTTCAAAATCGTTAGTGACCATAGCTGTAATGCACCGATACTATCTCAGAAAAAGGACAGCGATCAAAGCACGCTTTCACTTTTGGCTCAAGGGTTAAAGGGCGGCTCTTCTGACCGGGGACAGGATTTCAGGACACCTGTCACATGATGCACCTGCACCCAAAGCTGTCCACAAGTGATAGGCCTACAGTAATCGGGCTCAGCCCTGCATGTTGTGACCCAAGATGACTGCATACATGCTGGTCCTAAACAGCTGTCCTCCTATAATGTGATCATTCAATGTGCACTTTAGAAAGAAATGTGAACAACAATGCACTGTGCTGTCGCCGGCTAATAACACTCTGCATCCAACCAATTCAGCAACTTGGTTACAGCTTAACAAGCTCTTAATTACAGCATGCACAGCTTCCGCACATCTCAGCAGCTCGGGCAGAAAATGTGATTAATTAAATGGATGTTGGGAATGTGTCTATTCTTGGGACTAGAAAAGGTGTGTTGTTCTCGCCTGAGAGTGCCTGGCTGTCTACAGCTGGACGAATTGGCAGAGAGAGGAGCTGCGCCTCCCCAGTCTGTTCAGTATTTATGGCCTCACAAGCATTTTGTCTCAATTTAGGGAGCATTTTAAGCCTGACAAGATCAGTATAGGAAGAAGAAATGGGTTGATTTGAAGAGAGCAAACCCCATCTCTATCTATTTCAGCAATGCACTGGCTTGTCTGTCAAATCCAGTTCGGCAGCATACGTACAAGTGGAGAACATCTTCTGGTTATTATCAACGGAAAAAGCCAGCGAGCTGGAACTTGCTCCGCAGAACACAGAGGCGGGAGTGTCAGCGTGGCCTGAGTGTCAAACTGTTCTCAGAGCTCACTGTGAGTCAGCCACGGCGCTCCGGCCCTGTGACTCAATGTTTCCTGGTAGATATCTCAGTGCAGCTGGATTGCAAAGCACTTTAGACTTGTTAGGCAGATATACTTGTTCACCTTCACAGAACCTTGGCTCGTGGTTTTCTTTTTGTCAGTTCATGTTACGTCAGTTTTATATAATAAGGGAGGGGTGGTGTCATCACACATTTCCAAGGAAAGGAAGGAGTGAGGACGAGGTGATGGCTGACAGAGATAAGACGGGAACACGTGTACTATGTATTTTTGATGAGTCCAATAGAGACTGTGAAGGTGAGGTCACGCCGCATTCAATTTGTGCCAACATTGTAAAACCATTATCCATCCATCCATCCATCCATTTTCTGTAGTGCTTATTCCCAGCAGGGTCACAGGGGAGGGGGGCTGGAGCCAATCCCAGCTGACAGTGGGCGAGAGGCGGGGCACATCCTGAACAGGTCGCCAGTAAAATCATTATGTAATGTTTATTTCATATTCACATATCCATCTATGTATCTGGTTCCTGAATAGTACTCCTAGGATCCTGCTCTCACAGAGCTGTCTTCTGTAGGCAGGGGTCCATGCCCGCTGACCTTCTGGAATACCTTTTAGTGCTCACGTCTAAAATGAAAACTCATACAATGAACAAAACTGCATATCTTTCCTTTTCTTACAAGTTAGCAGGATTTCCTGTGGAATCAAAGTGTAGCTCAACTCAAGATTGTTTAATAAAAACATCCCAAAACTGCAGTTTTACAGCAAAATGGACCATTTTGATCATATTTTACCAAGCTAAACCCAAGCAAAGCAGGCGCCAACTGCGCCAGGTGCAGACATGAGCAATCCTCCTCATAAGACGGTACTCCCATCCCAACATGCCGCACTTGTGATGTATCGACACGTTCTCTATAGAATAAATCCATGACGGACAAAAAACACAGACTCCCTCCCCTGGAGCCCCTCGTACGGCAGTCTTTGTTCTCACCATCTCATTGTGCACTTGCGGGCCTGCGAGTGGGGAGAAACAATAATGTCCCACAGAGCCCGAGCGCTATAGGCGTGGAGAGGCTGAAAGGGATGCTTGAGAATAGAAGGGCTGGGTGGTAATTCAGGCCGTGTGGCCTTTTCCTTCCAACTGCGTGTGGGAAGACCCTCTGGGGCAGACAGACACGCCATTCCTACACCCACAGACATTATACTACACCAGCCGCCAAGGAGTGAGGCAGGCGGGTGAGGAGGGAGGGGCGGGGGAGGCCGAACAGAGAAACTTTTCAGTGTGGAGGGATAAAGATGGAGGGTGGTGAAAAGGAGATATGGGTTCACCACTGCCCCTGACAATACAAATGAGAATCATACCATTGCACACCCTGAACACACCATTGTGGCTTTACTTGTGGGTCTTGTGGTGAGGTGTTGTCACTCACCTGCTCATACTAACCCCAGCATTAACCCACAAAAGAAACAGCTCAAGAGTCAGGTATGCAAAAACTGAATTAAAGGCCAAACACAAGTCAGTATGGGAATGTTATGGTGCGAGAAGGTCTACATTTAGAACCAATTCCTTCACCCGGATCAAGGTAACATCTAATCTCTTATGCAAGGTACCACTCATGATAAACTAAATCCAAACAACATTAACAACCCAATTAATACCACGACATACGTTATTTCAATACAAGAGATGTTATCTATTAAGAAAAGAAAAATGAATTGTTTGACAATTAGTTTGGAGAATTACTTTACTTTTTCATTCTTGAGAAACCTTAGGATTTTATGCCTATACATGGCAAAATGGGAACATTTAGAGACCGTATTTACTTACCCAGAATATGATATTGAAGCCAAATAAGAAGTATTTGACGCAGCAGCTGACTTCGGCTCCTTTAAAGTGGTGGTGTTTTCTACTCATTCTTCCAGGGATAGTGGTTGTGGCTGTCCGGGAAGCTAGAACCTAACTACTCCAACTGATACTTCGGAAGCTTTGCTAAAGCTATAGTTATCGACCCACTGGATTCCGCGTTAGTTGTATCCATTAGCTAAACAGTTCGCTCGGTCACCGGGCGGCCCAGAGCGGGTCCAACGAACCAAAAGTGGCAAACTGCCGTTTTCTCGCCTTATGCATTAGCTTGCTAGGCCAGCTAGCTCGCAACTTCTATGGTTAGCATTGGCGGCTAACAACAACAAATCCAGGTACACTCAACGAAGGCGCCGACGTCCATCTGCGACTCTGCCCATGTTCCCGCAGGCGGACGTCAATTTCCCTACGGACACCGACAGACCGAGCTGAAGCCGGCAATGTTTCACACCAACGTCCCCGATAGTACCTCTGTTACCGCATCACTGTTAAGAGTCTTCATCCTTGTTGTTTTGTGCTCTGAAACAAGCCCCTGCTTTCAAACAGCAGAAATCACAGCGTTGGCTTTCGCCCTTTTCACCTCAAGAGCGGCCTCTTGTGTCTCACAGCCGCCTCTCACTCGAGCGAATGGGTTTGCAACAAAACTATGAATTATTCCAGCTTTATTTAGAGACGGTGCTGCTTTAGTTTCAGTGTTGTGTAACATACAATAAATAACCCGCACTACACTACATTAGCATAACTTCCATTCCAATGGAGACTTCCATTCATAAGTTAGAGCCATGGACTGAACCTTTTTCTTTTCCTTTTTCCGTTTGTCTGTAAACAGCTGTGACACATTTTTAAAATATGGTTTTCGATTTGTTTCAGATTGCTGATTATAAATGCCACTTGAAGCACATCTATTCAAGGCTTGACAGCAATAGAAGCAAAGGTGACGGTAATTAAATGAGCCACACTGCATAATTAGACATAATCAAGAATTAAAGGCCATGAAGATATGAGTAATTACTTTCACTAACTGCACCTGTACCCGTTCCAACAACTGCAGAGAACAACAGAGCAACAAACCTCTAATTCATAACAGCTGTTTGACTGTTTTAACAACGTTTCATTGTAGGAAAAGTGGAGATACTCCCATATCTGAGAGACAATGCGTTGAATAGAAAGTAGAGAACACACAAAAAATGATCTGACGAGCTCTGATGCCAATTTGAACTTCAGTCTGAAGTCCTACAGATGGCAGTCTATGAACTTGTGATAAATGTTGCTTCACCCCCCCCCCCCCCCCCCCTCCAAAAAAAAAACCTCAGGGAGCTTCCATTTGCCACATACCAGCCTTTACAGACGGTTGCCACAAGTATGCTTTTCTGATAATGAAACCAAAACAAGACTGAAACCAAAGAATCACGTATACAAATGTGGCGGTTGTTGTTGCATTTGGCTCTAATATGGGCAATTAACCGTTTGGAAGCATATTCTTTGGAATCCAACATGTAAGGGCATGCTCATTATTTGACATCTGGCTATCAATAGCTTAAGATTTACTACTGTGGTTGACAATTTCTCACCAATGTGGTACGCTAAAATGATTAGTTTCTTACAACACTGTTAAACAGAGAGGTCCCAGCTTTCACGTAGAGCTGTACACAGATCCGCTCAGAAGGATGGAAACCTGCCACTGACCATTTTGTCAACAGGAGAAAGTGGGAGGTCTAATTCATTTAGAACATTGTGTGTCATTAGTGAGGTCCATTTCTCTAGCTGTCTAGCTGTCAGAAAAGCCAGATGGGGGGGCCAGATTAGTTTTTTATTATTATTATTGTCGTCAATCTCTTTGTTTTTCTTTTTTGTTCAGTTTTTATGTTGTATTTGCGGCTTTTTAACTGATTTACAAAACAAAGCAAAAAAGAGTGGTGATTAATGTAGGAGTTACCCTGTGAACAAAATAAAAATTACAAATATTTTATATGGCAGTGGAGTGTTGCGCTTGTCTGACCTTTGGGTGTGCATCATAGATAATAGTTTCTATTCACAGAGCTCAGTCATTATAGTGGTAATGTAATAGAGGTGAAATGACTAGATAATTGCTTCTTGCAAATAAATTGTTTAGTATCCCAATTTTATCCCACATATTCTCTTGATGTCTGACTATATATTTCAGAGACATTTTATAAGACAATTTGAAGGAACTTCTACACCTGCTTTTTTCAGCTATACCATAATTTGAAGGCTTGATATTGTAAGACATATCTAATAAAACAGCAGATGAAAAACAATCATAAATACTTCAGATGGTGTTTCATAGATGTTTTATTTTGTGTTAGGTTATTTAAAAATAACAAAACCATACAATAAAACAGGAGTGAAGTTGGCTGAAATGCAGGCTTACAAAACCTTAAAGCCTGCAAGCAAAATTTAAACAGTTAGGATTTTAATTTATTATTTTTCTATTATTTGTGGTTGTCTGCAGTCTGTCCAGGGGTGACCCAGGTTGAAATCAATCCATGACACTAATAGGTTTAATCCCGCTGAGAATGCAAGGTCACCAAGTAGCAGAAGTTCCTGTCACTCAAACATACACAGAGTAAATATTTAGCAATGTGCTGATGCTTTTTGGCCCCCACGTCTGGGAATGAAGAAACAATCTGTTGTGCCAGTGCGAGACGGGCCAAGGTGGGAATGTGGTAATATGGTTCTGGTGTTGCAATACAAAAAGACATAGAACTGGCAGCAGTTATGTTTGCAGTTAATCTTTCAGGGCTAGCCTTTTACATGCCATCAAGACATTTGCTTGATTTACCTGCCTGAATAAGTCAAGTATTTACAAAGCCAAGTTGAAACGGAATGATCACTAGTGCAAAGTAAGTATTAACGGAACCACCAAAAGTTACAGGAAGTTTACATTAGAGTTCTATGACTGAAAAGAATATCCATCTGATCTCTATCTTACAAAACATACAAAATTCCTCTGACACTTTCCTCAAGGAAATTCAACTTCTGTCATCCTCTTTCGACTTACACGGCATGCACATCATCTGTTTCTATTCAAATCATGTTGACATAAAGAATTATGACTGCTGATGAGCATTAATACGACACAAACGCATGAAATGCAAAAACGTTTGAAATCTTTCTCTCGAATCATGTCAACAATTCTAAACAGGAATTTCAAATGCCCCTTTCTCCCACATTTCTCATTTGTTCAACTATCCCTTTTTCTGTTCCTTTCTGCGACTCCGGCTGTAAAGTTTACTTTCATTCAAATCGGATTCAGTGCTCAGAGCAACAAATAAACACTGTTGAACTGATTATTACGCTGTAATAATGTGATTATGTTTTTAAATTCCTTTACACTGGTTAAAAGTGATCACTGTGAGAATACATTCTGAATAGCATGACAGTGACAGAATATGAAAGAAAATTATTTCATCCAGTGCTACCATAACCTATATTCACTGAGTCCATAAGTGTGCAGCAGAATCTGGTGCCTCTCTACTGTGGGTCAGGGAAACCTGTTTCAGGTTGACGATCATTGCCTGTCTTTAATCTGAATCCACCTGATGAAGAAACCACTGTACTGAAATAGTCTGTTGACAGTTTAGCATTCTTCAGTGAGCCCTTTTTTTAGGTACATTTTATGCTTAAACCATATGATATGTTACAATAAAAATGAACTCACCCATACGTTTTTGTTGAATTAGTTAAATTTTAATCATATTTGCATATATGATAATTCCCTGAAGATTAAGCTGTTGAAAACTGTTTGAATTTGGCATTGACTGTAACGGTTTGTGTCAAAGGTTTAAAAAGTATCACACTGATTAAAAGTTAACCTAAATATCTTTGGTTATTTCAACTGTTTGCACTTTTTGGTATGTACGAAGCGCACAAGCCACAGTAACTGTATAAGAAGCTTGTCCTTGTCAGTCCATACTTGGCAAGTCAGCCACACGAAAATGCTAAAACTACTTTGATTTTGCATTTACCTTGTTATACTATCAGCAAGCAACATTAAAGAAAGATCACTCATCTGATATCTCTCAGACTTATATCGATCTGGCAGAATGTCTCTGGGCTACCCAATGTCCCCAAAGTCTGAGAAAACATTATGTTTTGCGTTTCGGTTTAAGGTCTGGAAATGTCCTCACAGGTCAGTGGAGACCGTGCTCCTCTTGACTCTCAGGCTACCGCCCCAGCCCCGGGGACAGGTATTGTAAGAGTGCAGGCCGGGGGAGCGAAGACCTGAGTCTTCAGATTCAACAGAGGCATCCGAGTCAGTCAGAGAGCGACTGTTGTACAGCCTCACGGGGGAGCAGATCCTTTGAGTGGGAGTTGGAGGAGGACTGATGAAAGTGGGGGAGTGTGCCCCAAGTGCCCGTGACTGGAAGGGGCTCATAGCTGGTTTGTGCAAGTCTTGGTTGGAGTTTCCCACAGGTGAGATGGGGAGGCTGTGACCACTGGGTGCACCAGGGGAGGGGCTGTTTTTACGTTTGGCTGCATTGATAATATTCTTTGCCAGGAGTCGATGGTTGGCTTTAGCATCTCGATTAGAGACAGTAGGCGAGAGGCAGCGATTGTCTTTGGGTTGTGGGGTAGAGGGGGAAGAGCATGTGTACTGAGGTTTGACGGAAGGACAGGACAAATTGCTTTGAAAGAGCGCAGGTGACTGGGAACGTGAGCCCCAAGGAGGACAGGCAGGAGACATTCCGGATGATGGTCTGGATGAGGAGATGGAGAGAGTCAAAGACTGGTCATTTTGGCTAACTGAGGGTGATTGAGGTATTGATCCCCAGGTAGGCGTTTGTGAGGGTTTGGATGCAGGATCAGAGGAAATGTTAGAAGACTTGTAGCAGACAGCTGGTGACTGGCATCTTGATCCCCAAGGAGGAGTACATGGGGAAGTAGCTGTATGTGTTACAGATGGTCTGGATGAAGAAAAAGAGGCAGAAGTAGGGGGTTTGTTGTTCTGGCCCACCACTGGGGACTGGCATTTTGTACCCCAAGGAGGAGAAAGAGGGTAATGAGTTTTAGAAACCTGGGTTTGTTTAAAGGGAGGAATGGAGGAAGTGGTGGTGGGCTGGCTGACCATTGGGGATTGGCATCTTGACCCCCAAGGAGGGGAACATGGGGAGGTGGCTATCGATGTTTGGGAGGGCTGTAGGGATGTAAAAGTGGAGTTAATGGCGGAACAGTGGATGTTCTGACTTGTCATGGGAGACTGGCATCTCGTATTAATGGGACAGGTCCCAGGGGAAGTGACTGAGCGGATGGTGGGGGACGGTTGATTTATTTGGTGGCTTGAGGTCCAGATTCTGGTTGTGGGGCCATCTGGGCTGCTGAAACGCCTGGAGAGGCTGGGTGTGCCGACCGGTGTGCTTGTCTCACTGGGAATTTCTCCTGGGAAGGGCTCCTTTGATACCTGTTGGAACATGAAATGCAGATTTAAACTCTTGGAATCAAAAAAATCAAGTTGCAAGTTTGTAACAAATAAACAAATCCTCATTAATAAATTATTTTAGTTTTGGTTTGACTGTTACAATATGTTTTATTTATGAAGGAAGAATTTAGCTTTCACACAGCAAACCCAGTAGAACAGTTTAATTATATGATTTAAATTCTTTAAATTCTGTTATGATAAAACTAAATTTGTGTTCATTCTGAGTTCCAGATGCATTCAAATCATCCTTGTGTGACCTCTCCCTTTGGGTATTTTCTCAGTATGCCTGGCTACTTGCATACTTAGCCCCAGCCTTTAGTGTCTCTCTCAGGTTACTGTCATCTGGTACCCTGGAGATGGTTAACTTCTGCAGGGATATGGAGTTACTTCACTGAAGTAAGGGTTACATTCCATCTTGTGCCCATAGTAATTAAGAACTAACTATCTTTGCTCAAGAAAAATAATATGAAGAGTGTTGTGTAACTGTAGTACAAGTATCTATTCCCCTCAAAGTTCTGTCCTAACAAATTAATGCCACCAACACCGAGAAGAAATATGGCAAAGGTCAAGGGTTATAACATTTGTCTTAATGTCAAGGCTCCTCAGGTAGCCAAGCGACAGGTCTTCGCAAAGGAACACACAGAATCACAATTCCTGTTAAGCGTAATCTTGTCATGGTGAGCTTGGTTATTTCAGAGCTGTAAATGTCACACACTGTGTATTGAAATGGATATGATACATGTTGAGAATGATCTATCATATAATTTGTGTTTCGCAGAGAGGAACATGTGTTTTGTAATGATAGGACAGAGGGAAAATCAAACAATAGATATTGTACAGGGGAAAAAATAGGAGAAATAGATCTGGGAAGTCAGGAAATGAGAAAGACAGGTCACTGCAGAGTGTTAGCATGAAGCTTTAATAAAGGGAGGAAAGATTCACTCTTACACAAAATAAAATCAGGCTTAGGAGACAGCATAACAGCAGAAAAGAGCAATCAGTCAAGGTGGAAGGAAGTAAGCACACACTTCAGTCTGAAAAACACTGACTGATGGTGGAGTTACTGCTTTAAGTCGTAAAAACAATAAATGTGTAGATTTATGAAGAAAATTAAAAGGTAGCACATAGATCTGAAACATGGCAGTATCTTAGAGCTCACCATGTATTTATGTAAAATGTGCTGGAAAGAAGAGTAAATTACCCTGAAGACATAAAGACATAAAAGAGTTCTCTTGCTGCAACTTCCGTGCCAGTGAGCAGCATTAAATTGCAAATCTTAGATCATAAAGCAGATGCTTAGACCATCTGTTAAAGTGCTTTGTGAAGCAGCATCATTACGGTGCCCAGCGGAAAGAGTGTGAGGTTGTTTTCATGTCTTAAAGTGTTCTGAAAATGGATTATGTTGTAACAGCTTTGGGAATGGAAACTTATTTTGATTAAACCAAAGCACAATTGAACATTTCTAAGGTTAATTACTGGTGTGTGGGTTTAGTTTCTAAAAAAAAATACAATTACACTACATATTCATGGGTCATTTAGGATCCATTCATTTAGATAATCCCATAATATGATGAGCAACTCAACCCTAGCTATGATGAATCGGTAAGTAATTCAGCTAATTTATTCACTGTTTTATGATTTGTTTTAGTATTACAAATCTTCCTAATAGATATACAAGTGATGGCACTAAAGAGACACAAGCAACCAGGCACAAGTTTAAATTATGTCCTGTACATCTTTGAATCACTAGAATCAATTTCAGCCATGTGTTTAATCTCTTCAAAATAGTCCCATATGTCCCAAAATATCATATGAACAAAATCTTTCTAAAAGTGGTAGAGAGAGGGTCTCCACACCTGTGGGGCAATTCCTGCCTTTTTGGCAGAAAATGTGGGCCTTGGTGCTTGCATTCCCGACCGTGGAGAGGATACTCTGTCTGGAGAAAAAGCAAACATTGGAGAACTGATCCTTGGATGCTCAGAAGATGGACTTGACAGATACTCTGGTGCTGCTGTGGGGCTGAGCGGCAGCTGAGATGGCATGCTTTGGGGACCAAAGTGAGAAGGAGGGCTGTTAGGCAGAGAAGTTTGTCTGGAGTAAGTATGGGTGGTTTGTTGATTCCTGGCCTGTGGCGCTCCTCTGGGTAAGGTACTGATTGGGTCCTTGACTGGGTTAAAGATGAATAGGGATGAGTTAAGCTGGTAGGGTCGGTGCCTTGAAAGGTCCATCTCTATCTTTGAACAACCGTTTTCCAAAGGCGGCACCTCTGGGACTGGTTCTGGTGGTGCAGCCTTTGGCTTTGGTTTCTGCTTGACTGCTTGCTGGGCCTTAAGATTTTGTGAAAGCTGAGCACCTATGTCGGAGTTCTTGGCAATGGCTTTCACCCTTCCGGGCATGTTGGATGGGTAAACCCAAGATGGTGGCAGAGACATTGTTGGAGAGGGACATCTCATTTGTCCTGCGTTCTGATTCTCAACAACATATTTCTCCATCCTGGATTGACGCTTGGCAAACAGTTCAGCCCCTTTTCCAGATACATTGGTGAGGGTCTGCTCTGGCTGATGCTCCAACCTTGGGCGGGTTCTTGAGCTCTTAAGGCAGGAGGCCCACTCTGGAGCACTTGCTCCCTCCAACCTTTCAACCTTTTTGACTTGGAAGTTTGAGGCTTCTGCACCCAGAGCCAGTAACTCCTCTTCAGATGCCGCTTCAGGTACAGACCTGTGCCCATGTTTCTTCCTTTCATCTGCCCCCTGCACTAAAGAGAGCAGCTCAGGATTTGGAGCAATAACTTGCTTTTCTTTGAATGTGAACATCGACTTCTTACTCGCCCTCCTGACAGCGCCCTCCTCAAGTATTCCTGTTTTGATTGGTGTTATCAACTTCCTTTCTCCAGTGGTTTGAGGAACAAAGGTGGATGGCTTTGGGGCTGTGGGTGGGCCACATTGGGGCATGGGTGGATACTGAGAAACAGGGAAGTGAGATGGTGGAGGGGGATATGGGGACATGACAGGAGACATGGGAGGTGGACTTTGGCAGAACGCTTGTGGAGGTTGGTTTGTGAAGGCAGGAAGAGGAGGTGTGGGATATGACGGAGGCGGAGGTGGAGAAGAATACGTGGCAGGTTGAGGGACAGTAGAAGCAGGGAGGGGAGGGGTGGAATAAGACGGAGGAGGTGGGATGTTCATGACAGGACTGACTGCTTCTGTGGAGTGCACTGTGGGTGGTGAGAAGAAGGGCCTCGCAGTTCTATTGACGATGGTGGATGCCTGCTTGGATGAGAGTAAAGACACCCTCTCAGGTCCAGAGGTGCCATGACAGCCATTAGGAAGCTTTCCAGTAGGAACTGGCCCTGTGTGGCCCCCATTTGTCTCTGCCTCCCCTTGGGCGTGTTCTATCACGTCTGGTTCAATGATGTTACTTCCTAAAGTAGTTTCATTCTTGACACTGTCCTCTACCCCCTCGTGGATATCATCTCCTCCCTGTTCATCCTCCTCCTGTTCCTCCTTTACAGGGAGAAAATGCCTCTCTTGAACATCAGTGTTGTCCATGTCTTCCTCTTGGTTTAATCCCTTTCCTGGCTCGTCCATAATATCACCAATAGATTGGACACTCGCAGTTGGTGAAAAGAGTGGCTGAGTATTGTTCAAGTTTAGGTTTCTGTCCTTTTCTTCACTGCTCCTCTCTGCCCATGTTAGTTTGTTAGACAACGTGTTACTTTTTCCATTTTCAATTTTATCCTCCTGTGATCCCTGTCCACAGCTTTCAACGGTGAAGGCGTTGACTCTCTGTTTACGCCGGTTGAAGAGCTGCACACCCCTAGAGCTGGAGCTGGATTTGGAAGGAATGGTGAGCTGAGCAGCAATGATGTGACTCCTCACACGGGCCTCCTTTAGCTCCTTTTCTGATAGACTGGCACTCCTGGTCAGATCTGAGGAGATACAATAGGTGGAGGGGGACAGAACAGTGAACTTCATGAAATTTAAAATGTTTTCATTTAATAAACACTGTAATTAAATCAGGTAATTTGCTCTTAACTAAAACTTACCCATCTGCTATGTGGAAATAGAAAGAGCCAACAACTGATGCTTACAGAAACTAATCTGGGTTTGAATATTCTCTAAAACACCCACATAGCTGCTTTTGCACTCATTCTGTGGTTTAGACTGCTATTTGCTGTCCTTTTCATTTAAGCCAATCTAAGCTTTGGGGAAATTTGAATCAGCTGACATAAGGTGCTGGCAGTGGGCTAATAGGTGTAGAATGTGAAAAAATGTGAATTAAACGCTGCAATAAAGAGAAACAGCGCTTTGGGGAAAGTCAATGAAAACAATTAGATCAGTGTCTTCAACCGCCGCCAAGGAAGCAGCTGGCAATCATTGTCTTATACCAGTTCCACAGGTTAGCTAATCACTTTGAAATCGTGAGATAAAACTTGCCGATGTTAAAGTGGATAGTTTATTTTCCTAGCTAAAGAGCTCCCTTCCAGGCAATGGAACTATTTCCTCTGCCATCTGCAGTAGTCCCTCCCTGAGCATTCCTTCACTGCTGAGAAAACTCCCTGCCTGCGCTTCCAGCATGCCTTTGGTTTCTCTCTGTAGCTAATTTGTGCAATACTGCAGTTCCAACTCTTAATAGACCACTTTTACAACCTTCAGTCTCCTAAAATTACATTTTGTGACTGCTTCTCATAAACGCACTATACAATCAAGTGTTCCCATCTAAAATATAGAGATGACATCATACTTCAAAGCTAATGAGAAGAAAACAAAAGCCGCATCAAGATGTTTTTCTCCAAAATACTCTGAAAACAGAAACCCATTGCAAAGACGAATTAGTTTTCGTGGTGACACATCTGGTGGATTACTCAGCTAATTCATGATCCAACAGGACTTTTCACAAACAGCTGGAGCAGCCTTCATGTCATTCAAATGATGGATCCTGACACATACATTATCAGATGTAATAGAGTGCCAATCATAATAGTCAAGCATAAATCACTCACTTATAAATCTATCCTGTAGAGCTGATTCTGCATGTGGCTTTTCCTGGCTGTCTAAAGTGAATATTTACCCAAGCCTGAAGGGATTATTAAGCATCTGCCGCTAATTCTACAGACAGTTAGTCTGACTTTGCAGTTTCAGGTTAACTCTTTGTGAGCTACTCTTGATTTCTAATCACAGAAACTCAGATAAGATTCATAATGGTAATATTTCAAGAGTGTCCTCATGCCAAGATGCATTTATGGCCCAATTTTGAACAGATATGTAGACAACACTTGCTTGCTTGCTTGCTTGCTTGCTTGCTTGCTTGCTTGCTTACTTGCTTACTTGCTTACTTGCTTACTTGCTTACTTACTTACTTACTTACTTACTTACTTACTTACTTACTTACTT